GTTCAAGCTCCTCCCCCTCCTTCCAGGTCCAGGAAGGTGAGAATCCAAACAGACTGGATCCCCAAAATCCAGTATATGCAGAGGAAACAAGTCCCAGTGTCATTGTCAATGGCTTTTCAGAAAGACTCCGGGCCAGCCACATTCAGAGAATCTGGTTGGATCACGTGCTCGTTCAGTCCCAGTCCAACTGGCGTTGGTAAGCTCTCATTAGATCCGTCCCCTTGTATCAGCTTGAACTTCCCACAGGGCAGGAAACCCTGTCTGCCCTTAGGGACGAAGAGGGAGGAGAGGGAGTGGGGGGAGTGGGAGGGTGTTGGGGCGGAAATGGAAACTTTTATAATTTAATAAAATTACTTAAAAAAAACTTGGGGTGTATACTCTGCATTTATGCAAGACGGGACAAATTCAGCCTGTGGGATGTGATGATCTACAGGCAGCATCAGAGGTCAGCTCGCATACACTGTAGATCTGCTTGGTGCGCGAGGAGGCAAGTTCAGATATCTGGTGATTATCTGCCAATTGACAGTAAAGGAAAAATTGAGTTTACATTCAAATTTGTAAACTTTCTGGCATGGGTCTCTTGGGATGGTGAGTGGTGTATGCCTGCAATCCCACTGCCTGGGAGGCTGAGGCAGTATTGGAAATTTAAGATCCACTTGAGCTACACAGTGGGATCCTCTTACCCGACTCACTCTCCACAAGACCAGAGTAGAAGCCAACATGTTGCTCAGAAACTCGGTTCACATATACGTATTTGCATAGCACAATAGGTGCACTGACTACCATTTTAGTAATTTGAGATCACTGAACAAATGACTTATCCTTAGGAAATGTCTTCTTCACTACAGATTTGCACTGAGAAGCATGCCATCAAGCATCCATTCAGTTCAAACAACCAAAATCAGATTTATAAAAAAAGAAGTGGACAAAATGTACAAAAGTGCACTTTTTTTTCTAATAAATCACACTTAAGTTTTTTTTTTTTTAAAAAAACCCAACAAAACTAAGAATCACCTTTAATATCTAAGTAGTTAAAAATGTTAGTAGCAAAAGAACCAATTCTATACACTCTTGGGTTGTTTTGTGGTTTATTTTCTAATTGCTGTAGTTTGCATCTGACGCCTTTACATTGTTCCACAAGATGGGACTCTATAGCAAAAGGACTCATTAAAGCATAAAAATGGCATTACCACGGCCAGCAGTATTAACTATAAACTTTCTCAGAAGAAATATAGAGCGGCTGGAATTCCATAAAATAGCTGCAAGCAACTTGGGAGACTCCCACCTGTTGAATTAAATAATGATAGTGTGGTAGTAACTGTAGTGTCTGCACAATACAAATATATATTCTACACACTCCTTCTATCATAGTAATTAAAAACTGCAAGCAAGACACAGTGAACACAGGAGACATGTATCTTCTGTCTTACGTGGTCCTGGATTTCCACGTACAAAGCAGACACCAATAGTGTCACACATACAAACATGTTATTAACCCTCCAATAATTCTACAGAAGGTGTTATATTCTGCCCTATATCCCAGGTCAGGCTTATGAAGCTGAGACAAGCTGGAAAGGTAGTGGTGGATACTTAATAGAGCACTGACTGGGGTTTAGGGTACAGGACAACTAGCCCCGGGGCCCACCTTCTTCCTTTACTATTTCTAGCACACTGTCTCTCAAGAAACTGGTAGAGGTGTCCAGTACAGTCTCTCAATTGCTCATTCAAGTGTTTACTTACACTTGTAATACAACTTAATTCAGATTTTAGTCTTTTCTGAACAAGGATGGAAAATGGTTTAAGGAAAACTGCACACATTAAGAGGTACTGTGTAAAAGTCTGTGGGAGTCCTATCAGTATATACATGAAACTTCTCCTTACTAAGCAGGATGAATATCACACACTGATACAAATCTTTTTAATCTTTATGAAAGGCAGGGTAACATACAGAATTGTCTTCATTCTTATCTTTCCCTGTAAAGCCACACTTTATAGTGGACATCATTAAATCTGTACAGAATACAAACTGAGTAGAAGTCTAACTATTTAAAACATGCTTTAACATATTTGATTATTCAGTTACTCTGCAGCCAACACTACTTCTACCTATTGAAGATGTTGTTCAACAGTTATATAAAGTTTACTAAAACAATTGAGATTAAGTAACATTATAAGTCACAAAATTTTTACGTGATAACTTATAGCTATGATTCCATACATGGGATGAGTAAACCAATGGCTATTTTCCAAATAAAATATAAAATTCCTGTCATGAATACTTTGTAGTCTCCTAAAAGTAGTTCCCTTAAAAGTTAAGATGGTAAGAAAGATTCAACAGATAAGGCAAACAACTAAATCTTGGCAAGTCTTTTTACAGGGATGCTTGGTGTGGTTACTCAGCCACTGTAGCAACACACCATGTTCATGCTCTATCTGGAAAAAAAATTACAGGAAAACCACAACCCCATCAAATGAGTTCATCAGAGACGATGAGGATCAGACCAAGAGCTTAGTGTGAGATTATCAAATTAATTAGCATTAACCTGTTACATCATCTTAGCAGGAAGACATATTATTCTAGTCGGGTGTGCTTGTACACACCTGTAACCCCAGCATTTGGGAGGTAAAGATAGAGGATGAGAAGTTCGAGGCCAGCCTCAGCTGTTGGTATTTCAAGGCCAGCACGGGCCATATGAGATCCTGTCTCAAAGAACCAAAAACAGTCGGGTGGTGGTGGCGGTGCACGCCTTTCATCCCAGCACTTGGGAGGCAGAAGTAGGTGGATCTCTGTGAGTTTGAGGCCAGCCTGGTCTACAGAGTGAGTTCTAGGACAGGCTCCAAAGCTACAGAGAAACCCCGTCTTGAAAAACCAAAACAAAAACCCAAAAAACCAACAACAACCCGTCCCTCCACAAAACAAAATAGCATTATTCTTAGATTTTAAACATTTTATTTTTCTTTATGGGCACTGTTTATAATAGAATTGTACTATAGAAGTCAAAGCAAAAATAAAAAACAAAATTTCATTGAAGACCACTTCCTTTTCCTTATTTGAAATAAAATTGAATCAGTTAAACGTATCACTTCCCATACCAAATACACATCAAAGAACTCTTCCAGGTAGCATTTGCATATTAGTGACAACTGTATTTAACTACTTTAAACCAATATGACTCCAGATCATCCGGGATACAAGAACACTCATTAATGCTGCTACTATTTAGGCAAGAAACGAGATAAAACCACCAGAAGGTACAATGAACGGGGTCATATGTAATTTCTAAAAAACCTTTCAAATCCTGTTTGTTACAGGAAGAAAATCAACTTTTGATTTGAACTGTTATCACCTCTGTAGACTTAAAACACTGCCCATAAAATGCATAACTATATACACTGTAAATTTATTAAAAATGGTTTTTCATTGTTGTTTTTGAGACAGAGTCTTATGTAGCCCTGGTCATTATTAACAAGTTCTCCTGTGCTGGGATCACAGGTGTATGCTACATCCAGCTGGTGAAACACTTTTAAGGTCCAGAGGTCTAATTACTGATGAAGACAATGATTAGCAAATACCTCAAGGTTAGTTTCAGCCCTTGTTCTCAGGTACACTCTGCCTAGATATTCACTAAGAAACTCCTCAGATTAAGAAATACAGACTACATCACTCTATCTTTCCTACTGCTGTTATTTATGGAACCTCACATTTTGAAGCTGAGTAGGAAAACCTGAGATGAAGTCATAGTTAAGAAAGGGATCACAGAGAAGATCTTGGTTTTTGAACCCATGTAATATGCATTCCTTTGTGTATTACTTTTCATTAATGAAGTTTTCTGGATGCTAATAGAATACAAGGTCCACAAGCTGCACAATGGATCTTGGTTTATAAACTTGCAAGGTTTCAGTGTGTACAGTGAATTCTGACTAGCCCAGCTCTAACTGCAACAATAACTCCTAAATAAGAGCAAACCTAAATTCCCAGTAGAAAGAAAATGGGACCCCTCCCCCGCCCCCTGGACTGTCTACATAATAAACTTGTCCCTAATGTAAAGTCGGAGTATAATATCCTCTGCAGCATGCTATTTTCTCAGCTACAGCTCTTTGATTCAGAAATAAGAAAACATCTTTTCACTACGTTTGTTTTTGAACTGGTTCTCCTGCCTAGACCTCACAAGTGCAGGGTTACAGGTCATGCCATTATATCAGGTTTAAGTTTGCTTCCCTCATTTTCCCCTCAATTTAGGGAAAATTGAAAAAACATTAATTTATATGTTGTTACATAATATTCATATTCTTATGAGCTGAAATTTTTACTTGCCTATTTTATGTATTTATAAAGCACTCAATTGTAGCTTAGGCGAGTAAGACTCCTGAAAAAGCAACATTCCCACACAATATTTTGGTAAAAATATTCTATGCACATGAGTAAAACAATCTTTTCCTCGTTTGGGAATTTCCTAATCACACTAGTTGAGAAAAGAAACCATCTTAATTAAAAGTTATTACCAATGTTAAGACAACTGAGCACCACCTAGTGTTCAATTTCTGCAACTACCGACCTTAATTTAAAATGTTAAAAACCAGTTTCTAAAAACATTTTGGAAATGCCTTTCCTCCCTCAGTAAGTTGCTGACTGCAAAATAAATCATAAGAACTTACATGTTATCAAAACTAGTATAAAAATAGCCATACTTTTAAATATGAAAAGCAAACCTATCACTTTTGCCTTTAAATAGATTTCTGCCAGGTGTGGTAAATACATTTAATCTCAGCACCCAGGAGGCTGAGAAAGGAGGATCATAGCGAGTATGGGTCCACTAGACTATAGTGAATTCCAAGCTAGCCTCAGATACAAAGTTGGATTCTGTCTCAAAATATAACACAACAAAACATAAAACAGATTTCTGCCTTCATTTGTATCAAAATCTCTGGGCAACTGGAATATACACAAAGACTGTACTTTGTACAGTCAACAGCTATGCAAAAGAAGGGCTTAATCATAATTTATGCATACAAGGCAAATTGTTTATTCAAAACATCCATTTACTTACTGGAAGGGGTCAAAGTAGGAAAGGCAGTAATGTATTTTTTTTCCTTACATGACCTTCTTTGAGTTCAATTACATCAAATGAACAAAGTGGGCTTAACATATCACTTAAAAGATATTTTCAGCTTTGAAAGAAGCGACCTTAGTATTGAATCAAGTCTGTCTCAACAAATTACTATCAATACAGTGAAAACTTTTCCTTGAGGTCTATGACCAGATTCCAAACTTGCAGGGCAATCTTCGGAAGGACTGGAATGTAAAATGTTGAGTTCATTTTAGATCTGAAAGAGAAAAGAACATTAAGTCAAAGGAAAACAGCAATTCTAAAAGAATCCTTTACATGCATGTGCAAATTCACATGTACAACTATGGGTGCTGTGTCAGGTAGCTTGGAGTACGAGGACCTCAGGTGTTGGCACTCACTTTCAGCATTGTTCACTGTTCTGTTTGTCAGGCTAGCTGGCCTAAGAGCTTCCAAAAATTCCTCTGCCTCCACCTCCAATCTTGCCATAAAAACACTAGGTTTAGAGAAGGTACTATAGCCAGCTGTATGTGGACTCTAGCAGATTCTTGAGGGCCTGGCAAGCACTTTACCCTGAGCCAACCCAGGAGAAAAGCACTCTTAAATTCTAATATTCTGTGTATAAGGGAAATGTTCTCACAGGTCATATAGGAAATGAACCCAGTCAAGAGGAAATTCCCCAAATAAGCTTTTCTGTATTGCAGCCCACTTTCAGAAATTCTGATTTTCATAATAATTTATGTGATACACTTTTCTAAAGTGTATATTAGCCAGGTGTGGTGGTACAGACCTTTAATCCCAGCACTTGGGAGGCTAAGGCAGGCAGGTAGGTAGCATAGAGTTTGAGGTCAGTATATTTGTGTGTGCAGGTACCCACCAAGGCCAGAAGATGGCACTGGATTCCCTGGAGCTGGAGTTATAGGCAGCGTGAGAATCAAACTGAAGCCCTCTGACAGTACTAAGTGCTCTTAATCACCCAGCCAGTCATCTCTCTAGTCTACGGGACTATTCTTTGTTGTCCTTTCTTCTTTTTAGTTTTGGGTGTGGGGAGGGCGGGTGCTCACTCTATATGGCTGGCTGACCTAGAACTCAAAGAGATTCACCTACCTTTGCCTCCTGAGTACTAGGATTAAAGGCCATGTCTGGCCTCCGAGAACATTTTTTTTTTCTTTTTTTAGAGACAGGGTTTCTTTGTATAGCCCTGTATAGCCTTTGTATATCCTGGAACTCACTTTATAGACCAGGCTGGCCTTGAACTAACAGAAAACAAGAATATTCTTAATGAGGTTTGCTGTGTCCTTCTCTTTGCATCGCATATTTGAGAATTTATTTTACATTTTACTTCTTTAAATAAAAAAGACTAAGTTTTCTTTATTTGTGTGTATGGGTGTACCTGTGTCTGCACTTATGTATGTGGGTGCCAGTGGAGGCCAGAAGTCATCAGATTCCCTGGAGCAGTTGCAGGCAGTTGTGAGCTGCCTCTTCATGTGTATGCTGGGAACCAAAAAAGGGTCCCCTGCATGAGCAACAAGCATCCTTAAACACTGAGCCATTTCTCTAGCCCAGATTTGAGATTTTATACTTTTGGAGTAGCAACAGACACGAAGGAACATGATCTCTTTTGAGAACTAGGTAAGTATGGCTTCAATCCTTTTCTTTCAAGTTGACTACAGGAGTATAGATAGAACACTTATCAACACTTAGAAAACAGTCAGAGAAATGCCCCCCAAGGGAAAGAGCAGAGTTCTCAGGTGACACAATAAACTCTTATTTAAAACAACAAATAAACAAACAACTCCCCCTCCCCAAATGGCCTGGGGTTCTCTGGAACCCACACGAACTTATCTCTACATGCATCCCCTAGCATGAGTGCACATGTCCATCCTTCATTCATACATACAAAATAAATGTTTTCAAAATGTTCCTAACAATATAAATTCTGGGGTGGAGATGGCTCACTGGGTAAAACTGTCTATTGCTATTGCAGTCTTGTTACTGGCACCCACATTGGGTGCATCACAACTGCCTTTAACCCCAGCTCCAGAGAATCTGATGCCCTCTTTTGGTTTTCATGAACACCCAACCCACCAACATTACACTTAAGAAAAAAAAATTAAAAATGGGAACATAAATTCAGCATCACCCGTGGCTTCCTATTTTTCCTTTCTTTCCCTTTCCTCCTCTCTTTCTGAATTACTAGAGAATCACACAGTAATTATATGCTATATCATAAAAAAGCGTGTGTGGGGGGGAATTAGAGAAATGCTTTTGGCTAGGCTCAAGAAAACTACATTAAAAATGTTCAAGAATGGTTGGAGGTGGTGCACACCTTTAATCCCAGTACTCCTCCGGAGTCAGAGGCAGGCGGATCTCTGTGAGTTAGAAGCCAGTCTGGCCTACAAGAGTTAGTTTCAGGACAGGCTCCAAAGCCACAGATAAATCCTATCTTGAAAAACAAACAAACAAAAAACAAAAGTTCAAACAGCCGAGTGGTGGCGCCCACCTTTAATCCCAGCACCTGGGAGGCAGAGGCAGGTGGATCTCTGAGAGTTCCAGGACAGCCGGGGCTGTTAAACAGAGAAATCCTGTCTTGGAAAAGAAAAAGTTAAAAAAATTGCTTTCTATTGTTAACATGTTATTTACTTTTTGTGCATCACACGTGTGCCTAATGGCCTCAGAGGCAAGAAGGCGTATAAGTCCACTGGAACTGGAGTCAGACATGTGTTTTTAAAGATGTATTGAGTAGGCTGGAGAGATAGATGGCTCAGTGGTTAAGAACACTGACTGCTCTTTCAGAGGTTCAGGGTTCAATTCCACATGGCAGCTCACAGCTGACTGTAACTCCAGTTCCAGGGGACCTGATGCTGTCACACAGACATACAGACAAGCAAAACACCGATGTTTATAAAATAAAAATTGTATGTACTCTGGGTGTGGTGCAAAGTATTGCTATGTAGATCTGCCTGGCCTGGTATTTGCTGGTATTGCAATCAAGACTGACCTCAAACTTGCAGCAGTCACCTGGCTTCAGCCTCCCAATTAATTACCAGGATTACAATTATATCTTACCACACTTGCTAACAGCTTGACCTCTAAATACCTCTTGTGATTTTAACACATAGCTAAGTCTCAAAATATACTTTTTATTTTTATATATCACCTGGGATGAATATCCTTTTATCTCTTCACCTTGATCTTCTTCCTATTTCTGAACAGTGCCTTTACTTTCATGTTCCTCTCACCCCTAAATATAGACTCTCATGTCAATGTTCTATATTCCCAGTATTATCGGAATCCAAGGGAAAGGGACAGTATCTATGTATGTAACTCATGAACAGAAATCAGAAAAAGCAGGCTGTATCTACTTACATCATCGATGTCTTCATCATCATCCCCAATGTCATCAAACTGAATTTCATCATCATCTCCAGGACCAAATGTATCAGTTTCATTGATTTTAGCTAACAAAAAAACACACACAAGAAAAATACTGATAATATAATCAAAATGTTGACTCCCAACTTTCTACTAATTTTGCTATACAGAATTTCTTTTGTATACAAGGGCTATTTAGCAAGGCAAGTTCTAATTCTCTGAAGCAATTATACCCTCTAGGTATGCTTCAGAAATTTCAGAAATTTGTGCACATACTAACAACTTTATTTCCTATCTCAAAAAAAAAAGAAAGAAAGAAAGAAAAAGTAAGCTACTCTAGGAGGGAGAAAAATTGGAGGAGTCATTTGTTGGACTTGGGATTAGTGATCGTTTCAAGTGTCCAGAAAACTCAACTTCTGATCAAAATGAATCATACAGAATCAATCAATCAATCAAACAAACACTAATAAGAAAAGAACTTATTCCCTCTATAGGGTAAAAGGGACAAGTGGGGCAGGAAACCAACCAATCCCTGAGCACCCCGACTCTGAACTCAGAGTCAGTAAAAGAAACATCTTTATCCCTGAACCCAGGACCAAACAAACACGCCCTGACTCTGAAACCAGTGTCAAAGAAACACACTTTGTCGCTAGAATCAGAGCCATGGAAAGAAATATGCCATGGTCCTAAGATTAGAGTCAAAAGGCTAAAAAAGACAGGTGAAATAAACAGTATGGCCTCAAGATCAGAGCCATCTCTGCCCCTGACTAACAAAACTGTCCTACTGCGGCTCCAACCTCCAGCCCTGTCCTATTGCGGCTGTAAGTATAGCCTGGCTTCCTGATAAGCCAGGAGATCTTTGTAGCTCCAGAGCTGTAACACATTCCCCTACACCCACCAATCATTAATTAGGAAGAAACATTTGGGCAAATCATACTTTTCCCTAAGGAATGAAAAGGAATAAGGCATGTTACTCTACCACTAAATATTTTACTGTTTCCTAGAGCAAAATGGCAAGTTTATAATTCTCAGTAGGGTCTTACTGGTTACAAAGGTCAAGTTTTCATGTGAAAATTCAGTGTATGCAATCTTTATTTATAATTGTTATGTAAAAAGGATGTACAAAATAATGTATAAATTCCATTTTCCCTCTGATAAGGTTATAGAAGGCTTGTATTTTGAGGGGGAAAACAATCCGGACTACTTAATTAATCACTGACTTTGTATTTACACATATAAACGACAGACTCTTGAAGAGATCTTTTTCAGTAGTGCTCGTCATTCGATCTAGGTCTTTCATATGCTACGGTGGCCTCTACTGAACTGCACTGCCAACTTTTCTTGAAGAGGTTTTAAAATACCACAAGAAATAATTCCTTTGGCTGACACTGTAATTTCTCATTAAACACTCTTATCAGGAACAGAATTTTAATAACCTTTCTATGGTATCTAGTGTGAAGTATAAGCAGGTAATTTAACTCTACTCATGCAAACACAAACAAATAGGAGGAACAAAATTTCATTGCCTAAACACTAGCAAGTTAATAAAGACTCAACCATTCATTACCATGCTCTGGAAGCTCGCCATATGCCTTGAGACTTCTAGCTTCATCTGCGTTGTATTTTAAAATGACATCGGCTTTGTTATCCTTAAAAATAAGTAATTTTTGATTACATCACTACTATTTGTTACGTCATACATTACTTTCAAATTGAATTAAAAAGATCAAATCTTAATGCTTTGTTATAAAATCCTTCTCACCTTCCTTAGGTTAAACTCCTAAAGAAGTTTTAGGAACACAACTGAGCAATGATTAAAAATTCAGAAAGATATAGCTCACATCTAGAACAGCAGAATGACATTTTTATATTATTTATAATTATCCTTTAATCAGAAGCACAAATGCCCCCCTGAAACTACAATTTACAGAGTGATCAAACAGATTTACAGATGCAAGCCAAAGAGTGAGACTTGGTATCAGAGCCTATGGAATTTTAGAAATGTATGTGTATATACACGCATGTATGTGTGGGTACCTGTGGAAGCTAGAAGGGGGCATCAGATCCCCTGGAACTGGAGTTACAGGTGGATGGAAGCCACCTGATGTGAGTGCTGGGAACCAAACTCTGGTCCATTGTAAGAGCAGCAAGCATTCTTAACTGCTGAGCCATCTTTCCAGCCCTGATATAAGGAAATAAATATGCCTTTTCATATATGTTAAGGCCAACTGTAATGATTATTAATCTTGTCAATTTGACAGGATCTAGAATCACAACAAAATAAATCTTTAGGTCTATCTGTGAGTGGAGTTTCTAGATTAAGTTTATTAAGGTAGAAAGGTTCACCCTAAATACAGGTAGTGCCATTACATGGGATAGGGTCCTGGACTGAATAAAAAACAGAAAGATAAGAACACTAGCATTCGTTCACCTCCCTCTGCTTCCTGACTACAGATGCAGTGAGACCAGCTGTCCCAGCTCCTGCTGTCATTTCCCCACTATGATGGAATATACCCTTGAACTGTGAGCCAAACAAATTCTTCCTTACACTGCTTTTTAAAGGTAACTTTTCACAATAAGTAAACTAATACTTGGTATTAATCAGACTTTTTTGAAAATAAATTGATCAGAGGGCAACTCTGTGGAACTTTTCCTTACCTTCCATCTTTGCATGGGTTCTGGGTATCTAAACTCAGGTCACCAGGCTTATCTAGTTGTCTCACTGGCACCCAATTTGTCTTTGTAAATTAAAAAAAAATCTTATTTCTTCTGTGCTGCACTAGCAAGACACGATGCCTCAAAATGTTTACATTTCCCTATTTGAGAAGAATTTCACTCTTCCTAAAGGTGAAGAATGGGTTGCTTCAATTTTAAGGGCACTGTCATCTGTACAGAAAGAGGGATGTGGAAAGCAAGAACGTGAAATTTTTTTCTTAAATTCTTTTTAGATTCATTTTTGAGTATGAATATTTTGCCTGTATCTATGTATGTCCATCACATGTGTGCTTGGTGCTCATAGGTCAGGAGGCATCAGATCCCTTGGAACTATTGGTGGTGTCAGCATTGAAAACTGAACCCAGATTCTCTGCAAGAGAAAGTGCTCCTAATGGCCAAGCCATCTCTCCAGCCCCAGAAGACAGTAATGCCACAATCTCTCTGGCCCACCCTCAAAGTGACAGAAGACAGAGAAAGGATCATGGAGATTATAGTCACTATTAAGCCTCTCTAAATTTTAGTGTCCTTTCTAACAAGGAATTAAAGCCTTTCTTCTTCTAGGGTTACTGTTAAAATCTAAAAATAAATGGTTTATGAATTTGGAGCAGCTTTTCTCAACCAAAGCCCTAATGATCATTCTGAGTCACATCATCTTTGCTGTGGGATGTGGTACATTAGAGGGTGTCCCACGTTCCCAGTACTCTACCTACCTACCACTTGCTAAGAACCTCACTCAAGTTATGGTAACCAGAAGAGTCTCCAAACACCGCCTATGACCCTCCGAAGGGTCAAATCACTCACAGAGAACCCTACGGTTTGAAACAAAGAAGTCAATGCTTTAATCTGAAACACAAAAGTAAAAAACTAACAAAAACTAAGTATGGTCAAAACCACACTAATAGAAATTTAATAAAAGCTTTCTGCTTTTGTCAGTGATTAGAAAAAAAAATATACCAGGCTATATTCCATTGTGGGACATAACTGAATTCATTCATCAGTAAAACCCTACAATGATAGTTCCTAGATTTTTAAAGATTTTTTACAAGAAAAAAAAGAACAAAATGACCACATAGTAGTATCATCTATTCTAATTATTTTTATTTTATGTGCATTGGTGTTTTGCCACGGGTGCCAGATCCCCCGGAACTAGAATTACAATCGGTGCTCTTAACCATCAAGCCATCTCTCCAGTCCCACATCATTTATTTTAAAAGGGGAAACTTCAAATAGCAAAGATAAGGAAACCATTTTGCACTATACAAGCTAAATGTCTGACTCCTTAGACTGGCATTTGGGAAGCATAATGCCAGGGACACCAAGCATAATGGCTACAATACAATGGGCTGTTAGGAAATGGCTTATCAAGTTCAAGCAATATAAAAACAAACTTAAAAGTAATTTTTACCTGATAATCTCGGAGGCCCACCAATATGATGTCTGAGGTATTTATCCAAACCTACAAAAGAAAAGTCACTGCATAATCTATTTTCAATAAAGCAGAATCAAGAAATTTCAGAGATGATTCACTTAGAAACAGATGAGTTCTGAAAGCACTTGGCTATCTACTATGAAAACATAAAAATGCTGTACTTTTCTGTCTTCTACCCACCCAAATGTATACAATTTTCATGATCATTTATTTTCCTTGTGAAAGATTGATATCAACAAAATAAAATACACTCTCAACCTGAACCCCAATCTCACTCAGAGTTGGGACTTCCCAGAACACCAAGGGCCACCTGCCAGGATTCTTTAGTTCTCCTTAAAACTGTAACACTTCCCTAGTCCTTTCCCTCTTCCATAACACCAGAATGTTTCCCAAATTAGATTTGTTGCCTATTTTCTAATGATTCAGATTCAGACCAAATGTTTTGGGCAGGAATACAACACAAGTGAGGCAAATGATTCTTTAAACAATGTAATCTGTAAAATGACCACTATGGTCTTCTACTGGACTTACACTAATATCCTCAGGTCTATAAAATCTGTAGAGGTGGGAGGTTGGACATGTAGCTCAGTGGTAGAAACACACTTACCTTTTTTCTCAATTTCCCTCTGATGTGGCATAGTCTCTTCACACCATCGAAACACATTGCTTCTAATCGTCCATTTCCCAACATTTTGATTACCTGAGCATATTCTATGTGGATGGAGTAGGGGAGAAAAAGGGAATGAAATATTGCTCGCTCTTTTTGATGAAATTGTCCATTGAAAATTGACAAGAACATGTGACTGCACTGGTTAGGGATAAATATACATAGGGCAAATATAAAATAAATACAAGGAAGTTAAACACTTGGCTAGTTAATGGTTGAACCAGAAACAAGACTTTGTAATATAACAACCTGGGTCTGTTATTAGATGTCTTAATTATCTACTTGTTTTCAGTAAGGAGACAGACTGACTCCTGCCCTTGTGACCACGTACTACTTCTAGAGATCAAAGGTGCCATGTCCCAGTATGTATACTATACCTCATACAGTTCACATTCAGATCTTTACCTCTTTCATAGCCTTATTTCTTTGAATCCTTAGAACAATCTCATGGAATCCTCAGTCCAAGTACTTTAAATGTTAGTGATATCCTTGCTGAGTTAGTATAACAGTAATTATTCTTAGAAAGCCAGAATTATCTTTTACTTGGGTAAAATACCAAATTATTATTATTATTTTGGTTTCTCAAGACAGGGTTTCTCTATGTAGCCTTGACTGTCCTGGAACTCTCTGTAGACCAAACTGGCCTCCAACTCAACTCAGAGACCCACCTGCCTCTGCCTTCTGAGGGCTGGGATTAAGGGTGTGCACCACCATCGCTTGGCTATTTTCTTTATCTTAAGATTGGGCTGGGCTAGAGAGGTAGCTCAGAGGTTAAGAACACCCACTGTTCTTCCACAGGTCCTGAGTTCAGTTCCCAGCAACCACATGGTGGCTCACAACCATTTGTGATGAGATCTGGTGCCCTCTCCTGGCATGTGTATACTAAATAAATTTAAAAAAAAACACAAAGCTACGTTTAACTTTAAATAATAATAAAGAATGTACACACAAAGATTGGGCCAGACGGTAGTGGCGCACGCCTTTAATCCCAGCACTCAGGAGGCAAAGGCAGGCAGATCTCTGTGAGTTTGAGGCCAGACTGGTCTACAGAGTGAGTTCCAGGACAGTTTCCAAAGCTACAGAGAAACCCTGTCTCGAAAAACAAAAACAAACAAACAAAAAGATTGGGGTGGGGATATCACCACACAGCCTTGGCTAGCCTGAAACTCAGAGATCCACCTGCCTGTCTCTGCCTCCCAAGTGTTGGGATTAAAGGTACACATTACCCTGCCTAGCCTAAAATGCCAAATTCTGAACTAGAATCCTTTAAAAAGACAATACCCAACTGTCTGTACAAACAAACTCAGAGGCAAGAAGCCAGAAGTCTAGTCTCTTAGTCAGAAAATGCTTGATCCCCAATATAGAAAAACAAACTAGAAAAATCTAACAAGAACCCAACTATCCAGCCTCTTACCTTGCCCATCCTCTTTGAACACCAGCTCTCGCTTTTCAGATTCATTCTCATTCTTTCCTCTACGTCTGTTTTTACCTCCTTTTCCTAGTGAGTTGTAAAAAGAAAAGGTTATCAATCATCTGCAAAACATCCTGAAAAGGAACAGTGATAAACATATACTGTTTAACAACTTAGAAAACCATCTTTAGGGGCTGGAGAGATGGCTCAGTGGTTAAGAACACTGACTGCTCTTCCAAAGGACCCAGGTTCAATTCCCAGTACCCACATGGCAGCCCATGACTGTGTTATTTCAGTTCTAGGGGATCTGATACCTTCACACCAATGCATGTAAAATAAAGTTAAATTTAAAAAAAAAAGTTTATAAAAATAGAAAGAAAACCACCTTTAAAAGTCAATTAAATTTAAAAATCCGCTTAATCTGGTCAATCATGTTAAACGTACCATGTTCAGGTATATAATGTTTCCATGTTACCCTCACCACACCTCATGGAGTTTTCTTTGGGGACTTTGCATCTTAAGTAACATCCTCATCTCTTTTCCTTTTATTAAAAATGTTTTTCAGTTGGGTGGCAGTGGTGCACGCCTTTAATCCCAGCACTCAGGAGGCAGAGATAGGCGGATCTCTACGAGTTCAACGCCAGCCTGGTCTACTAGAGCTAGTTCCAGGACAGGCTACAAAGCTACAGAGAAACCCTGTCTTGAACCCCCCGCCAAAAGCTTTTCACAATATATTCTGATTCCCTCCAATATCTCACTTCCCCCACGTCCCCTCTCATGCGGATCCACCCCCTTCTTCTCATGAGAAAATGAATAGACATTTAAGGAATAATAAGACACAATAAAATAAATGAAGTCATAAGCAAAAGAATTGTTAAGGTAAAAAAAAGTTCCAACAGGACACGTGATAAAAGAACCTCCAAAGATGTTACCGAGTTCCTTTTGTGCTGGCCATCTACTGCTGGGCATGGGACCAGCCCTTACCAGTGGGTAGATGACCAGTGACCATCTGTTTATTTGTCATAATCACCTTGAATATTTAACATTTATCCCCAGTTTATCAGTAAGTTCTCTAAAGGTCAGAGATTAAATAACTCACTCAAAATTTTAGTCAATGAGCTCAGGACCCCAGATCCAACCCTAACCCTCTCTGTCCTAGTAGAGTGCTCATATTAGGGCTCCTTTCCGGAGACTTCTGTCACCACACTCTTAATTACATGGGCCTCAGCTTTCTTTTTTTTTTGAGACAGGGTTTCACACTATAGCTCAGACTAGCTTTGAAACTTTGGCAGTCCTGTCTCAGCCCCCTGAATGCTGGCATTATGAGTGTGGGCCACCATACTGAGCCCTGACAAATTTTACAAAAACACCTCGCCTTTCTCACACCTGACCCTTTCCCTATGAAAAGAAGCGCTGGTAAAAAGATGACAGGAGACAGAAAAATGAAGCTATGGCTACTGGAATGGGGCATACTGACCTCATGATGGTAGAAGACTATTAACAGTTAAAGATTCTGAATCTCATCCTTTAAAATGTACCATACCTGAGACAGTCTAGTTTAAAAGCAAGGTGTCAACTGCCTCGAGAGCCTCCTTTAAAATGTGCTTTAATGTTTAAGGGTGTCTGGCGTTCATGTATGTCTGTCCATCATGGGCATGTCCAATGCCAACACAGGCACTGGAAAAGGGCATTGGATTCCCTACAAATGGAGTTACAGACAATTGTATGCTGCCATATAGGTGACGGGAATTACTACTGAGCCATTCTCTAGCCCTACATACTTTAAGGGCAACCATACAAATGGTGACACCATACAAAGGGATATTCTACAGTAATAAAGAAATGTGGCAGTGGTGGCATGCAGTTTTAATCCCAGCACTTGGTAGGCAGAGGCAAGCAGATTTTCTCTAAGTTCGAGGCCAGCCTGATCTACAGAGTGAGTTCCAGGACAGCCAGAGTTACACAGTGAGACCCTGTCACAAAACAAAAGAAAAAAATAAAGACTGAAACAAGACCAAGCCCGAGTGTATGACAAAACAGCAATAAATAGAAAAAAACCATCTTTTTAACCCCATTTTCTTTCCAAAAGACTATTTCTTAAGCTTAATCACAATTCTCAAATTCGTTCTTTACAGAGGTGTTTCAGAGAAGCCCAGGGAGGATCTTTCTTAAAACACACTAAGATGTGATTTAGAATAGCTCTGTCTCCTTGGGACCAAAGGGGAACTTACTATTCACCTATGGGTGGAGTCACCAGAGGGAGATGACTAAGTTCAACAAGTATTTATTGAGCATCTTTTAGGCTAAGTACTATCAAGCCAATGTGATTATGACCGACACCATTCCCGTCCTTTTAGGACTTACAACTAATGTGGGAACCAGAAATCTAGTCACTAGAATTAAAGTGAGAATAAGACACCTCACCTGCTGATGTGATCCAGTTGCCATCTCAGAATAAGGAAGTCTACAGAGAGCAATTTTAAGACTTTGAACACATTATGCCTATAATTACACTTTTCCCAGGACAACCAGTAAAAATTCTTGCTACACAAAAAGACTGGCAACCTTGATTTTTGAAGCCCTGAAGCATGGCGCCAACAGTGTGTTCAAGGTCAGCCTGGGTCACATAGCAAGACTATCTCAAATCAACTTGTCCCATCCACAAAACTCTGACCAAGTACTCAGAGGTCTAATGTGAACAGTGCCAGGTAATTAAGCAGACTCCCTGGAGTCAGCTCTCATGCAGGAAAGAGAACACTAGCAGGCGTGGGGCAAGGGAGGTGGCCCCAAAGATGAGTTATCAAAGACTTCGTGTGCACCTGTGTGTGCGTGTGTGGTGGGGTGCCCAGGTGGGCCTGAAGAGGTCCCTGGATCCCCTAGAGCTGAAGTTATAAGCAGTCATGAGCTACCCTATGTGGGTGGGTATGGGATCCTAATTTTGGTTCTCTTAACCAGGAAGATAACTCTTCTGCCCAAAGACTTCATTTTTATCTTATTATTTTTGGTTTTTCGAGACAGGGTTTCTTTGTATAAGTCCTGGCTGTCCCGGAACTCAGAGACCCTACTGGACTCAGAGTTGAAGTCATAGGAGTCACGAGCTGCCCCATGCGGGTGTGGGAACCCAATTTTGTTTCTCTTAATCAGGAAGGTATCTCTTCTGCCCAAAGACGACTTCATTTCTAAATTATTTCGGTTTTTCGAGACAGGGTTTCTTTATGTAGCCCTAGCTGTCCTGGAACTCAGAGATCCTCCTGGCATGTCTCCTGAGTGCTGGGATTAAAGGTGTGAGCCACCACCAACTGGCCCAAGGGTCAGGTAATGTGCTCCTATCCTGTGGGAAACACAAGTTTTTTTCTATTTTTACTTGCACAATTCTACTGACAATGAATAGCACAAGCCTGTAATTTCAGCTATTTGGTAGGCTGAAGCAGAAGAATCCCAAATTCAATGCTAGTCCCAGCTACTGAGTGAGTTCTGGTTTAGCCCGAGGGCAGAGCAGCAGCGTCCTGCTAAGGACAGAATCGGTCCTACAAAAAAAACCCACTACCACAAAATATATAAAACTGAGGCTGTCCTTAGGGATGCTGTACTTCTACTTAGATTAGGCTCTTCATTTTGGAGATACCAAATTAAAAATGCCCTCATGACTGATAATTTGAGAACATGTTCCCAGAAGAGAGGGAACTTCAAAGGCTTTTATTTTTCCATTAAAACAAATACATGATCTGAAGCAAAAGTGGAAAACTTGGCTAAATAAGACGAAGCGCTCTGGGGTGGCAGAGAAGTGAAGCCCCGTAAAGCCATGGAGTAAAGAGATAACTTTAAAAGTGCATCGGACGTATTGACCACTGGCGACTAGGGAGCAGCCTCAACAGTCTCAAGTAAGTGTTCATAAAGTAGCCTATGCAGAAGGTGCCAGATGGGCACGAAAGCAAGAAGGGCATTACCCCTTTTCAAAGTTCAGAGTCGCTCCCAGGGCTTAACTCCCCACGTGCCGGAAAGCCAAGAAGCCCGAGGCAGGTGTTCCCACGGGTCCCCTTGGCGGCGCGGTCAGTGTGGCGCGAACCAGGGGCAGGAGCCCACATTCTCACACAGGAGGCCCTACAAAAATGGCGTCGGCTCCACCCCAATGTGGCCAAACTGGGAACCAGGAGTAACTTCCTTGCGCCTCTGCCGAGCTCCGAGTAGGACGCAGAGAATGCTGCCGAAGGACAGGCAAGGGAAGATGGCAGGAAGGTCACTGCGGCCTGAGCTGACCTCGAGGCCGCGAGCTGGCCCGGGGAAGCCGGCGGGGAGCGAAGCCGCGGTCCCGGCGTCGTTACCTTTATTCTTGGGCATGGCGGCAAAGACGGGCTGACGGCCTGTGGGACCGTGCTCCGGGTGGCGTCGGGAACGGCGGTGACTCCGCGGGGCGACGCCGAGAGACGCGCGGGAGGAAGACTATGCGGGAAGCCGAGAAGCGTGCTCGGAAGAGGTTGCTCACCGGTGCTTCCGAGAGTCGCCTGCGCCCACGTTCGGCAGTGGCAAATGGCGTCGCGGCTATGGGCGGAGCTTTTCCCCGCCCTCCTCCCTCCCCCGCCCGTGGGGCCGGCCTCCCGCCCTCCCTCCGCTCTACGGCGCAGGCGTGTCCAAGAGGACGCCTTCGGGTGGGAGCCCCGGGAACGCCTGCCGGGAGGGGTTCACGGCCACGGGAGGGCACGCAGTGGGTGGAGCTAGCGAGGCCCTGGAGGCCGGAAGGAACTGACGGGGGCCCCGCGTCACAGTGGAGGAGTGGAGGGGGGTGGGGTATGGAGGTAGTGCGGGATGCTGCTGCCTTGGCCACCATGGGCTGATTCCTACCGAAGTTGAGTCCCAGCTTGACAGGCTGCTGACTCACTAACCTCATAGTTAACTGAGTTTTTATGTGACCTTTTCACCGGCCCAACCAGGCTGGAAAGTCTGAGGCGAAGGGGAGAAGGCCATCTGCCCTCCCTTTCTAAACTTTAATAGAATATTTGAATGGTATTTGGGAAAAAAAAATGCGTCCTCCCTAACTTACCGTAGCCAGGTCTGTTGTTTATTGCCAGCACTTAAAAGTGGCTGCACATAGTAGGTTGCTCAGCGCACACAGGACAAAAAGAAGAGGTGGAAGAAAGTTGGTATTAGGGACCGATCTCCCAAAATCACGCTAAAGTTCTAACTCCAAATACCTATGTATATGGCTTTATTTGGGGGTAAGTTCTTTAAAGAAGTGATTATATTGAAATGGGATACTTAGACAAAAACTAAGCACCATATACTGGCCTTGGTCCTTCTTGAGCATAGCAAACACAGGTGTTCCAATGGGGCCCTTGCCTGTCATTAATATTTCTGACCAGATGTCCACATGATTCACCTCCTCCTCAGTGATTCTGATGATCAGATGTAGGAACCTTGCTAAAGAAATCAAAAAACTGGCCCTTTTTCCAATGAGGATTTACGTCAAGTACTTGACTTTATTATTATTATGATGATGATGATGATGATGGTTTTTTGAGACAGGGTTTCTCTATGTAGCCATGACTGTCCTGGAACTCTTTCTGTAGACCAGGCTGGCCTTGACTCACAGAGACCCACCTCTGCCTCCTGAGTGCTGGGATTAAAGGCAGGTGCCACCACCCAAGTACTTGACTTTGTAGCTGTACGGTTAGAGTCTGATTACTTGTGTACTAGGCCTAATTGCTAAATTTCTAACATACTGCATTCATTTCTGTGATGAGAAAACTAAAGTTTACAAAGATGATGGAACTATCTAAGATCACAGAGTAAGTTTTGTTTAGTCACATTTAAACTCGCCTCTATAAATTCCAGAGCCCAGTGTTAGAATCATTTGAATTTTCAGTCAGGCATGGTAGCAATCTTAGCACCAGAGAGATGGAGGAAGCCTGGGCTACACAGGCCTGTCTCAAAAAAAAGTGTAAGTTGCAAAAAACTACAAATGAAAAGAGAAAATCAGAACTTTTCTGCCCTGTCATTTTCCATTCTTTTGAGACTGGGTCTCATTGTAGAACAGAATGATGAGTTTCTCAATCTCAATTCTATTCTTGTTTTTTAATTGGATAGTCCTTCACTGAGGGCAGGAGCTGTAGGATGTTTAACAATATTTCTGGTCTCCAATATCAACATCATTGATTTCTTCTCCACTCATGACAACCAAAACTATCTCCAGACACTGCCAAATGTCCACAGTAGAGAAGTACTATGAGATAATTATACCTTATTCCTGTCATTTAGTCTCTTTTCCTATAGAGAGGATGTTAAGAAGCTAATGTTTACAGAAGGGTTATTTAAAATAAGCCTACTTTTAGCCAGGTGGTGGTGGTGCACACCTTTAATCGCAGCACTAAGGAGGAAGAGATAGGAGGATCTTTGTGAGTTCCAGGCCAGCCTGGGTCTACAAAGCGAGTTCCAGGACAGCCAGAACTGTTACACTGAGAAACCCTGTCTCAAATAACCAAAAGGAGCCTCCTTTTAAATTTCTACATATTATTACTGGAATGGGGGGGGTATTGTGGTGCTCAGAGGACAATTTTGTGGAGTTGGTTCTCTTTTCCACACTTAACATGGGCTTCCGGGACTGACCTTAGGTTGCCAAGCTTTCCTGGTAAGTGATTTTACCTGCTGAGCCACCTTGCAGGTCTAAATAAGCCCGTTTTGAAGTGAAGCTATTTGCTCTGGGAAGCCACACAGCTCGCTCTCTCTGCTGTGACTTCCACAACAACAAAATAGAGACTGGGTAATGGTTTGCTTCAAGATCTGAAATGTACTGTCTCTTGGTTGTGTTGTTTTGTAATCAAGGTCTCACTATGTAACCCAGGCTGACCTGGAACTATGTAGCCCAGCTTTCCTCCAAACTTGCAGCAATCCTCCTGCCTCAGCCTCACATGTGCTAGAATTATAAGAGTGAACTACCAGGCCTAGCTACTACTTTTAGTCAGTTTTGAATGCTCTAAGATCAAAGTAGCAGCAAGTCTGGTTTCTTCTGAGGTCTCTATGGCCTATAGGTGGCTCAGGAAATGTTCCTTTATACCTAGGTGCTAATTGCCTTCATAGGTTTTGTTTTTGAGATAGGGTCTCACTATGTAGCCCTGGCTGACCTTTAACTCACATATTTACCTTCCTCTGTATCTTCAGTGCTGGGATTAAAAGTCTGTATCATCATGCCCGATTTATTGTCATTTTCTGAGTCATACTCTCTGATCTTAGTTCCATCATCTTTGTAAACTTTAGTTTTCTCATCACAGAAATCAATGCAATATGTTAGGAGTTTAGCAATTAGGTTTAGTACACAAGTGATAACTTGTACAACTGTACAGCTACATGTTTAAAAGTCAAGTAGTTGGGTGGTGGTGGTACACGCCTTTAATTCTAGTACTTAGGAGGCGGAGGTGGGTCTCTGTAAGTCAAGGCCAGCCTAGTCTACAAAGAGAGTTCCAGGACAGTCATGGCTACATAGAGAAACCCTGTCTCAAACAACAAGAACAAGAACAACAACAACAACAACAATAATAATAAAGTCAAGTACTTGATGTAAATCCTCATTGGAGAAAGGGCCAGTTTGTTTTTTTTTTTTTTGATTCCTTTAGCAAGGTTCCTACATCTGATCATCAGAATCACTGAGGAAGAGGTGAATCATGTGAACATCTGGTCAGAAATATTAAGGACAGGCAAGGGCCCCATTGGAGCATCTGTGCTTGCTATGCTCAAGAAGGACCAAGGCCAGTATATGGTGCTTAGTTTTTGTCAACTTGGCACAAACTAGAGCTACCAAGGAAGGGAGAATTTTAACTGAGGCGCTATTGCCATCAGATTGGCATGTTTGTGGGGGCATTTTGATTAACAATTGATGTGGGACCAGGCAGCTCACTGTGGGCTGTGCCACCTGGGCAGGTGATCTTGAACTTATAAGAAAGCAGGCTGAGCAAGCCCTAGAGAACAAACCAGTAAGCAGCATACATTCTTTCATGGTCTTGGCTTCAGCTCTTTCCCTGACTTCCCTCTATGGTGCCCGTGATCAGGACATTTAAGCCAAATAAACTCTTCCCTCCCCAAATTGCTTTTGGTCATGGAGTTTATCACAACAGATAGCAAACTAGAACAGATGGTATGACAAAGAATCAGCAAGCCAGGGACAGCTTGGGAGAGAGTAGACCAAAATTAGAGATGTAAGGAGACCAGATCACTCGGTTGGTTTTAAACAGATCATTTTGGCTTGTGTGTTAAGAATGGCTGTATTGGACAAAGGTAGAAATAGAAACCAGGCATGCTATACTGCGATTGTCCAAGCAAGACAGCTGTAGTGGCTTCAAATAGAGCAGCTTCTTTGGGGATGATGACATATTCTAAAACTAGGCTTATCATTATGGCCATGCAACTGTGTACATGTGCTAAAAACACTGGATTGTAAATTTTAAATGGGTAGACTTTATGGTATATGAATTGTATCTCAACAAAAATATCTTTAAAAGAACCGGAGCCGAGTGTGGCGATACATGCCTGTAATTCCAGCACTTTAGATGCAACGGGCAGGATGACTGCTGCAAGTTTGGGGACAGGATAGTTTACACTCTCATTTGCTGACCAACCAAAGCCAGAGAGTGAAGTCCTGCTTCTACAAACCAAACCAAAACTAAACTAAAACACCCCCAACCCTCCCCAACAAGCAATTTTTTTATTTAAAAATAAAAAGAAATGAGAGAATGGATTTCAGTAAGGAAAAATGATGGACAAATACTATAAGGATTTAAGTATATTTAGAAATCAGAAACTTGTCTGGCAGTGATTGCACTGCAGCATTAATCCCAGCACTCAAGAGGCAGAGGCAGGTGGAGCTCTGTGAGTTCGAGGCCAGCCTGGTCTACAAGAGCTGGTTCCAGGACAGGCTCCAAAGCTACAGAGAAACCCTGTCTTAAAAAACCAGAAAAAGAAAAAAATAAAGAAAACAGAAACTTTCAATGCCATTTGTATAATTTTATGGTTTCATACAACATCCAGAAATGTATAGCTAGAATTAACCAAAGAGCAAATACTGGAGTTTTGCTCAGTGGGTACAGTATAAAAACAAAGATGTAAGAAAGTTCAGGATGCTCTGAGAGAGAAGTTAAGTTGAGGTTACAAGGTTCACTCTGGATAGCAAAGGGAATCCAAAGGAGAACTAAGGTAACAAAGGAGAACGGGGCAGTTTTGGAGCCAACTCTGGTAGTTTTGGGCTTCTCCAAGAAAAAGATTATTTCATTTGTGCCAGGCTTGATACTGAGAACATGAATCTAAGATGATGCACAGCAAAATTATTTTGCACATACTAAATTAGAAATAGTCCTGTTTTAAATTCTATCAACATAATTTCATAAATACAACTTGGTGAGAAATTTTTATAGTATAATGGTCTACTCATATAACTAAAATAATGATAAAAGGAATATATATGCTTTACTTGAAACTTTATTATATAAATTTCCATTTCTTTTAAAGATTACAAAACCTGTTCTTTGACAGGAATACAAGCAATATTGTTCCAGAATTATTCATGGATA